ATTTAGTTCTGTTACCCATGTCCTGGAAGATGGATTTTCAATAATTTGGATCAGCTAAGTAGCAGAGTGGATAGAGTGCTGAGCCTGGAGTCAGGGTAACCTGGGTTCAGACACTTACTAGCTGTGTGAATCTGGTCGTCACTTAACCCTGTTTGCCTCAGTTCCTCATCTGTAAAATGAACTGGAGAAGGAAATGGCAAACCACTCCAGTATCCTTGCCAAAAAAACCCCAAATAGGGTCATGACTGAACACAGCTGAAATGACTGAAGAACTACAACAAATTGTCAATGATTTATGATGATATCTTTCACTCAAAGTGGTTCCTTCTTCCAAGAAACTCAAAGCAGGTTTCAGATTTGGGTTTTTACTCAATCTAAATATGAGGAAATTATGTCCTCATCAATAAAAATACAATAACAAAATCAAATAGTTCCTTCCAAAACGGAGGACAACTTGGTTTCTGTGAGTATTCATGGGAAGTAGAACTTCAGTCCAAAGCCAAGCATGGCAACCTTGCTTCTTCCTTTCTTTAACTTGCTCTCCAGCTCCATGAAAAAAAAAGTAGCTCATTGATTCCTTCCAGGACTTCTTTACTTTTTACATTTTGTTTTGGCACAGCAGAGACAGTCTGACATTCAGACAAAAGCCCCTCAAAGTACATTACTTAAAATCAGTTAAGCAAAACTGCCTAGAAGAGCCATTCAATTACTGGCACTTTCCATTTGTGCATTTTGCTGTTTGCCGACAGAAATGAAAGATGTTTAAGGTGTCTAAAGCTGTTGATATAGGCCAACAGCCAGAATGGAGTGTGGTTTCCTCCAAAGCTTTCAAAATGTAATGAAACAAGTCCATTATAGTGGGGACCCAATCACTACAGACATTGCAGAGAATAAACATCCTCACAATGTTCCACTTGGGTTCACACTTCTCTTACGTTGGAATATGAGACAATCTCTCTGGCTTTGATTTACTGCTCCAGCCTGTCCTCACACTAGCAATTCTAAAGTCCCAGAGATAGCCCATACCCATACAGTTACATTCCAACTCTCTCAAGTACCTTTGGAGGGGAATGTGTTTCTACTCATCACTCTTGATGTCAAAATTCCATCCAATGTGTTTTCTAGCTACACAATCAGCCACTCACATGGAAATGCAACCACATGGCACATGGTAATGATGCTTTTGGAGGCTGAATATAATATTTACTTGATAATAAAGAAATATCTTAGATATGTTTAAGGAATAATGTAAATAATAAAATACATCAAAATGCATGTACAAACCCAGATCATACTCTTCTATCAATATATTCAATAAATATGGGAAAGATTGGGTACATAATTATAGGAACCTGGCAGAGAAACATAGAAGTGAAGAAAATTCATGTGCTCAGGGCAATCCACAACCTAGGTTTCAGGCTTTAGAGTTATTGGTCCATTCATGTAAAAAAAACCAAATAAACAAAAACATCTGCTTTTCTGCTCATTTTTTGATTGTTGATCATCATTACTCTTCAGTTGGGGCAAAATCCTCTTCTCTCATCAAAAATAGCCTTTATAAGGTTTCCTATTAACCATTATCCTTAAAAAGTTGCTTAGAAAGTATTAGTCCTTAATTTGAATAACAATTATCTTTAAGCTAAAGAACAGAAATACTTATCAAACTGGCTATCTCTGCAATGTACAGATTAGCCCAGCCAGAATTCACTTCCACGCTATATTGTCCAAACAGAATGGCACTGACAGCCACAACTTACTAGGATATCAAAGTACTTGCAAAGTCCTCAGCTGTACTTCTTAAGTCAAAGTAAGCTGCAGAGAGCAACAAGCCCTTGTGAAAATCTTCCCCTTTTTTCCAAATCTAGGAGGCCCTGAAGTGTAATAACCGTTACCGGAGTTTCTGGCCAAAGAAGTAAATTCTCCAGCCAATCAGGGACTGATCAGCTAAAGCCTTCTTTCAGTTGACTAAGCAATAACTGGTCTATAACTTAAATAAAAGCTTACAGTCTCTAAGCAACTCCACAATTCTGGAGTAGCTAGGTAGTGCAGTGGATAAAGCACTGGCCCTGGAATCAGAATGACCTGAGTTCAAATTTGGCCTCAGCTATTTAATAGCTGTGTGACCCTGAGCAAGTCATCTAACCTTCTTTGTCTCAAAAAAACAAAATAGGTTTCATGTGAGATTTGGATACTTCACAAGAGTAAATGATCCATGGAATTGACATGAGGATTCAGAACATGTCAATAATTTGAAGCAATGCTTCATTTGTATAGGAACATTTTGATGCTATAAAGAGGCAGAGAAAGATCTTTTATTTATACACCCAGAGAAATGTGACTGAAGAAACAGTTTCAAGGGCACTGAGGAGAGATCTTTTTAGATTATCAACATGGAAACATGGAAAAACGTGCAAGGCATGATGGCATATCAGGTAATTTTCATACAATTACTAAAGAATAGAAAACGAAGAAATAATATGAAGCCTGAGGATTAAAGGCAAACTTTTAGTAAAAAGGTTAAAATTTCAATCAAATATAACTCCTGTGTAGATTAACTCTGTCTTTGTAGATTAACTCCCAGGTAAATAATAGATTTTGTTGTCATTTAAAATTGTTTTTTCTTCTGTTTTCTGTTCCGTTCTAGCCACAAAGCTGATTTTTGTGGATGTATTTTGTATGCTGTTTCTTTGATCAAGTTATATATTCTCTTGATTCAATTGCTTTTATTGTTTCATTAGAATTTTCTGAATATATCATCCTAACATTCACAAATAGAGATTCGCCCCCTCTTTGTCCAGGCTTATCTTTTATTTCATTTTCTTGTGCTGTTGCCCCAGTTAGCAATATTTCTAGTTCTATGTCAAATAATAGTAATCACAAAAGACATCCTTGTTTCATTTCTAATATTATTAGAAAAACTTTCAGGGCTTTAGTAACATTGGAAAAATATGGCTAATCTTTCTGCCACCCTCCCTCCTTACTTTTTTAGGCATGCCTTACATGTTATCTTCTTTTGGTAAAATGTAAGCTTCTTGAGGGTAGGAACTATCTTGTTAGCTAGTATATCTGTCCCCACTCTGTCTGTCCCATTGTAAATGCCTAATAAAAGGTTTTATCTCTTAATAATAATAATAATAATAGCATATATAGCACTTTACGATTAGCAAAGTGCTTGAGAAATATTAACTAGGTTGATCCTCACAACTTCTTATTAACAAAGTCATTATTTCAGATGTTATTTCAGTTTTTAAGTCTGCATTTTTCTTCCCATTTCCTACAATGAGAATACGAGCATTTTGCTTTTTTTTTGGTTACAAATTTAATCATACTGTGGTATAGAAGGATATGTTTAATAGTTCAAGTTTTTTATATTGCTTTCTGTTATTTATTTCTTAACACATGATCATCTTAATGATAGTTCTATGCTACGCAGAGAAGTTAAGTATACTCTCAAAAAAAATTGCCACGTACTGCATGAAATGAAGTTTTTTTTCAAAAGTCTCTTCAAATATATAGATATCGATGTATATATATTTTATGTGTATGGTTGTGTATCAGCTTGTTTATATTTATGTTAATTGGGTAAGTACAAAAAGGAAATATTAAAGTCTCCTATCATTTTTGCTATATTATTAAGATCTTATTTGTATTATTTCTTTTTCAAAAATACTTATTTTCTACCAATTCTAAATATTGATAGTGCCTTGAATATATATTTTCCTACTTCCTTAACTGCAGTTTTAGGGTCAGCAAAATAAGAATACATTTTATTCTAGATTCTAGCTATAGTACTATATGTGTATCTATGTTTTAACTTTTTTCTATGCAGAAAATCATGTTTTTTTATTCTAATTGATTCTATAACTCATATTAAAAATGAGTTAAAATTAAAGATTATAATTGTTCATCTTCATCATTTCTCCTGTTACACGAACATTTTTTTTATTAGCAAACCAACACATAAAGGTTAAGTGTCTGGTCTGAGATTGGATTTGAACTCAAGTCCTCCTGACTCCATGGCCTTTGTTCTATCCACTGCACTATCTAGCTGCCCCCTACTTCTGTATTTTGATACAATTCTGTTTACCTTAGTACTTTGAGAGTTTGTTTGTCAAAGGTTCTATGCAGTCTGAGTGTATAAGGAAGAATGAAGGGAAATCTATAATCCTATTGCAATCATTTTTGGGGAAAAACATCCAGAATGCTCAGTTTTGCAGGATATCCTATTTTAAAGTTCAAATTGGATTACTTTGCTTTTGGTATAATATATTACAGCATTTTTTAAAATTTCTTTTTATTGATTATTTAACATAAGTGATCCAAGTTGATCGATTTGAGGTCATTGATGAGAATTGCCTTCCCTGGCCCATTTTCACTATGTTCTCCTTGATGTAGAAACTCTAAAAATTGTTTCAGTCTTGTCTGACTCTCCTTGTTACCCTATTTTGGATTTTCTTGGCAAAGATACTGGAGTGGTTTACTATTTCCTTCTCCAGCCCATTTTACAGATGAGGAAACTAAGGCAAATAGAGTTAAGCAATTTGCCTAGGGTCATATAGTTAGTAAGTGTCCAAGGCTGGATTTGAATTCAGGTCCTCCTGACTCCAGGGCTGGAGCTCTATCCACTGTCCTTTTCTAATATCATTCTATGAATTCTATCAATTTTTATGTTTTTTTATATAATTCAATGACATTTATTGAGATTCTTTTATGGTCACTGTAGTTTAATACTTCTGGGAAATTTTCTTACGTTGTACTATCCAGATTCTTCTTTCACCTTGGTGCTAGGGATGTCAATATTTCTTTTTTTATTCCAAGGTCTGCCATTGAGATAAGTTGCTTTGGTTTTTGAGATCTCCATCCAAAACTTTTGATGCTCTTTAATTTTTTCCTCTCATATTCACCTCTTCATGCTTGAATTTTTGTCTTGAATTTCTGCCATTCTCTTTGTATGAGACTTCTCTTTTTCATTGTTTTGTTTTGTTTTGTTTTTTTCATAGCATCAGACCTTCTGGCTCAGTAGAAAACAATGTATCCAGTGGAGAGCAGACACACATTCTCCAGAGAGTCAACCTGACACAACCTGAGAGTCAAGTCAAGTCAAGAAACTAAAGCTAGGAAGTAGTTTCCAGAAGTGTACCTCTGACAACAAAGAGGAAAACTTACTATGGAATCAAGTAAGAACTAGTCCTGGTCATCTAAAGGAAAGATCTGGAGAGGAACAGACTTTGGGAGCCCAGCTGAATAAGCTAACAAGAAGAGATGCTATATCCAGGAATTAACAATGAGAAGACACAACAGACAATATCAACATCTGGCAGTAACAGATGTTTGAGCTGTGTACCACATGTTTTCCCTCTATGGACCTCATTACCATTGGACTCTCACTGTGTGCCCCCTTTTTCTCCCATAAATAGTATGTCTATTTTGGAAGAGAATGACCCAGCTTCATTGAGTTAACATTTTTTTATCCATAGTTCTTATTATACTACATAATAAATATTTTTGATGAGAGTTAATTTTGCATTCTGGCTAGTAAATGTAAACTTAATGGTGGTGGCTCACAAGTGACTGTATTAGAAGCTAGAACCTGCTGGACCTGCAGGATCAGCAGATCTGGGACGGGTGGGAGGGAAGCTAAGGATACAAGTGTAATCAGATGCAGATGCTGGAGTAGCATAGGTAAAGTTCCATCATAAACCTGAGCCACACTCTCTCACAAATATACATGACATTATAGAGAAGAGCAGTCACATGAACAGAATATGCAAGGACTAGTATACACGCATAGATGTGTGAGAAGGACACAGGGTAAGTGTGTGAGTGGGACACACAGAGGAAACATGCTAGGTAGGGGTGTAGGCAAGGAGGGATATATATCACAAGATGAAGGTGTCCAGGGCTTATAAGGGCATGGGCAGTTTATGCCTTAAACACCACAGGGCAGTGTTATCAAACTGGTGTTGTACATCTCAGTATTCCCTCTAGGGCTGCCCCTAAAACACTTACATTCACATAATCTCTAGCAGGTATTTTCTGTCTAGTGTTGCTTGCTGGTGGTTTCACCTGGCTATTTCTGTATCACTTTGATGTTCATTGCCAAGTGTAGCTCTACTTGGCATGAGGCTTGGCTTCAGCTGGAGTCCTCAGCTGAGAACTTCCTTATAGAGAGATGCCAATAAATTTTCTTCCTACTATAGTTATTTTAGAAATGCAAAAACTCTTAAAATTATTTGACTAAAGAAAATAGACACTTTCTTGTACAAATAAAATTATGTCAGCTTCTCTTCCCCCCAAGAAGAAAAGTAATATGCAATTTTCTCAGAGATTTGGAAAAGATGGGTCTTCCTCACCAGGTGATTCCTTGGTCTAGGCACCAAGCTCTGAAAAACAGAGCACAGCAGTCACTCCCAGATACCTTGTACACTCAGGCTTAATTCTGTTTTTGAACTTTATGTTTGCTAAGGCTTATCTTTCCATTAAAGATGTCATTCTAGTTCAAGTCTAGAAAGTCTGTGAGGCTCTACATTTAATTGCAGACTAAAGATTACGTTCCCTCAATTTGGGGATGAGCTCTGCTATAGGACTTTGATGAAGTATGTGTCTGATCCCTTAACACATCTTTGGGGATCTCACATACACTACATCTGCTAAATAAATTAATCTCAAAGGCAGGACAGAAGCTAAGGCCAAGGCTAAAGTCATTGTCTATCTTCTACTTAATCACATTCCTGTGATTTCAAATGCACATAAATTATGTCAAGACTTAACAATAATTTCTGTGGTTTTTGTTAAATCATTTCAGTCATGTCCTACTGTTCCCCTATTTGCTCTTTTCTTGGCAAAGATATTGGAGTGGTTTGTCATTTCCTTCTCTAGCTTATTTTACAGATGAGGAAATTGAGACAAACAGGGTTTAATGATTTGCCCAGTACCACTTAATTTCTTGATTAAATCCCCAATTTCAGAACTTATATCTCTAGCATTATTCATTATGCCACCTAGCTGCCCTTCAATAATTGAGCTATCCCTATATTATTAGGAAGGCTTAAATTTTTCTGTTTTGTGTATGTCTCCTAGGCCCCTTTTTAAGTTCCTAAAGAAAGGAACTGTATTGCAGATTCCTTAATATTCTCCACTTGGTCACATAATAAGCCTTCACATACATTTTGACTTGACTCAGGTATCAAATGGACTGTGAAGCAGAGTTATGAAGCCAATCAGTGTAAAATTTCCATTAAAGAATGCATATTTATTCTGTCATTTTTTCTCATCAAACATCTTTGCTACCATAATGTAATTCTGTTGATTAAAGATCATGTTTAAGTAAAGAATTCATTTTTAAACTTTTTTAAAACTTATGAATTCTCAATGGCACCTGGATGAGATAAAATTTTAAAAAGTCATGAGACCAAAGGATATAAAATTGGAAGAGAGATTAGCCATAATTTATTCAAGATTACTAATTTTATAGACAAAAAATGAGGCTCGGGGAGGTTAAGTGGATTTCTCCACATCCTGAATATTCTATTTCCCCTGTGTTATTCAAAGGGCATCCAAAGTGATCTCTTTGCTTCATATAGCTGCATTCTCTAATCCATTCTTCACACAGCTGCAGACTTGATATTTCTAAAACATTGTCTTCAGTAGTCACTCACCGGCTGAAGAAGTTTCAGTGGCTCCCTCCTAGCTCTACGATAAAATGGACACATTTTAAACATTTTAAACTCTTCACAATCTGATTCCCAGACACACCACTATGTCCTCTCACACAATGCTTCAGCCAAAGTTGCCTATTTATTGTTGCCTTGAACACTTCCATCCCTTTTGCGCAGAATGTACTTCCTCCTCACCTCTGTTTTGTTGAATGCCTAAATCTCTTACATAGAAGAGTTCAAATACCAATTTCTACACTACTCGTATTCCAATTCCCCCTCATCTCCTTCTTCAATCACTTCTGCCTTCAACCTCCTCCTGAATTCATTTGTATTTACATACACATACACAATAACATATATATAATGTTAATATGTATATCAATATATTAATGATTATTTGATATATTAACATGTAGACATACATATTAATGTAATGCATACATGTATGTATATATATAAATGTGTATATATACACATACATATTGTGTATATAAAATATGTGTATATATACATATATGTAAATATATGTGTGTGCATATATATATGTGTGTGTGTGTGTGTGTATGTTTGTGTGTGTGTGCGTGTGTGTGCTCATCCTTTCTGCCACCAATAAACTCCTTAAAAACAGGTATAATTTAATTTTTTTATTCTTTATATTTGATGCTTAACACAATGAAATACAATTAGCAGAAGAATAAAAAGAATGTTGAATGAGAGGCTGAGTGGTGACTAGATGGAATAAAATAATAAAAACATAGGCTCCAAAGTCTGGAAGAGATCTAAAAACAATCATTTGTTGATCCCCTTATTTTTACAGATCAGGAAGATGAAGAAAAGTGGCAACCACCAGTCCCACATTCCTACTCCAATTGTAAAAGTACTCTGTATTCTATTTTTTAAAAAATTAAACATAACATTTTGCTGCTAAATTAAATATCTAGTCCATCATCCACAAATAACTTATAATTAAGTAGATCTCCTAAACTCAACATATTTAAAACGGAATTCATTATGGTTCTTATTAAACCTTTCCCTCTTCCTAACTTCCCTCTTACTGTGGAGGGCACCACCCATTGTCCCAGTTACCCACACTCGCAACAACTCCTCATTCTCTCTTACCATTCAGTCAATGAGGCCATAAATAGGCATTCATTAAGCCTGGCAGGCATGCTATTTAGCTTAATTAATTTATGTGCCTTGCACTGCACTAAGCACTGGAGATACAAAAAAAAAGACAAAAGACAATCCTTGCCCCCCAAAACTCAAAATCTAATGGGTGAGACAATAAGCAAATATATATGTATATATGTATATATATATATATGTGTGTGTGTGTGTGTGTGTGTATATATATATATATGTATGTATGTATATGTCATGTAGACGACAAACAGAAAATAATTAATGGAGTGAAGATACTAGAATTAAGAAGGGTTGGGAAAGTTTTCCAATAGAAGATGGGATTTTAGTTGGGAGTTGAAGGAAACCAGAGAAGGTAGAGGGTGGAGAGGAGCGAGAGCATTCTAGGCATTGGGGACAGCCAGAGAAAATGCCCAGAGTGAAGAGATGGAGGGTCTTGTTCGCAGGACAACCCAGAGACCAATATCACTATATTGGAACATATGTAGTAGAAAATAAGATGTAAGAAGACTAGAATAGTGTGTGTGTGTGTGTGTGTGTGTGTGTGTGTGTATGTGTGTTAGGGTATTGGGAGGCTAGGCTATAAAGAGATTCAAATACCAAACAAAGCATTTTGTATTTGATTGTAGAGGTAACAGGGAGCCAATGGAGTTTATTGAGAATGAGGTTAATGGGGTCAGACCAGCAGTTTAGGAAAATTTCTTTGGCAGCTGAGTGGAAGATGAATAAGAGTTGGGAGAGTCATTTGGCAGGCAGCCCCATAGTCCAGGCATGGGGTGATGAGGGCCTGCACTAGACTGGGTGCAGTGTCAAGGGGGGATGGCATATTTGAGAAATGTTGCAAAGGTCTTGGCAACACATTGAATATAGAGGTTTGGGGGTGAAAGACAGTGAGTGTAGGAGGTTAGTTCACATCTGGGCCCTCTTCTCCACTTTGTCTATACTATTATACCTGGTGACCACATTAGCACACACATCCTCTATTTTGTTCCCAAATTGCCTCTGGTCTTCTTTTTTACTACCAGGAGCATTCCATACCCAGCCACCCACCCCAGGACTTCTAGACTAACATTTGTGGATTTCATTAATATATTATAACCACTGTGATGGTGAAGAGCTGAGGATGAGACCTAAGCTGTAGAGTCTGGGGGCCTTGGGAGGATGGTGGTGTCTTCAATAATAATAAGGAAGTTTGTAAGGAGGAAGGGTTTAAGGAGAAAGATAATGGTTTTAATTTTGGACCTGTTGAGTTTTGAGTCTCTACTGGACATCTACTTTGAGATATCTGAAAAGTCATCTGATATTGGAGACTGGAGGTCTGCAGAGAGATTAGGGCTGGAGAGGTAGATTTTAAAATCATCAGCAAAGAAATAATAATTAAATCCATAGAGCTAAGGTGATCACCAAGTAGAATAGTATAGAGGGAGTAGAGAGGAGGGCTCAGAACAGAATCGGGGTGTGAGCTAACCTCCTACACTCAGAAACTAGGGGGGTCACTACAAGCAAGGCATATGTGGAGCAGACACTCTGGGGTCACCTTGACTCTGGTTCCTTGGAGTGTAGCCCCTTTGGGCAAGGAGAGTATAAAAAGTAGTTTTTAGGCCTTTAGTAAGAAGCTCTTTTGATCCCAGAAACCTCTTGC